GTTCATTTGATCTATATATAGATTATTAAACTGGCATACTAAAAACATACGACAAAGTTAATTACTGGATTTAGTAATCTCATGTTTCTGCAAAATTATATGTATATATAGGCTTCAAATTCACTCGAAAAAAATTTTCTTCGTTAATAATTATAATAATAAATAATAATAGTAATAATAATAATAATAATAATAATAATAATAATAATAATAATAATAATAATAATAATCAGTAAAAAATTTAATATTAAATTATAAAAATACGAAAATGATCAAATCATTCAAATCATCAATTATCTTCTTGGTCCTTGCAAGTGCTACATTATTCACCAATGCACTTCCTACTGCTGATAAACCTGGGAACGAAATTACATTAGACACCGCCACTCTCTGCACCTACCTTCCTCCTGCACCAGGAGGTAATATTGCTGATCACGAAGGCGATGCTTTACCATTCTGTAATACAACCACCCCTACAGGAGTACAGGGACCAGTCAATCTTATTCCTAACGGATTTATTGTAACAGCACATTACCTAGGTGATTGGGGATACGTTCAATATACAGGTAGAATCAATCGAGACGCATACCAATTACGTGCAGATGATGAAGGTGGTCAATATGATAGTGTAGGAGCTCCACCAGGTGCAGCATGTGTGGGATATAGTTATGTAAAATTTGTGAACTTAATCGAACCAAAAGATGGACGTTTCTGTATCCGTTGTTGTTCTGATGCAAGCAAATGTAATACTAGTAAGAGTACTGCTGGGTGTCCAGAGATCATCCCTGGTGATTACAGTTAAATCAATAGACATTTTTATTATTTTATTAAATATTACATATTTAAATTAATTATTAAAACCTTTATTTATAATATTAATGTAATAGTAATATAATTATACCTTTATTTATTTATAATAATAATCTAATAGTAATGTAATTGTACCTTTATTTATAATAATAATCTAATAGTAATGTAATGATACCTTTATTTATAATAATAATCTAATAGTAATGTAATATGCTTTTATTTATAATAATAATGTTAATAGTAATGTTACTTTTTTAAGAAATAAATTGAATTATGACCAAAACTAATTAGGATCGAAAAATAGAAACAGTCCTAATAGCAAAATCTCGATTTTGTGTTAACATGCAATTCTTTACAAAGTTAATTTTACTATATCCACTTTGCTTAGTAAAGTTTCGAGATATTTAAAGGAAAATAGCAAAACAATATAATAAGATTATTAATATTTAATATAGTCGAAGCTCGTTAAATTCATAGGTCTGGCACAGAAAATTATCGAATTATGTGCTCTATAATTTCATGATATAAAGAGAATAGGAAATATATGACTTTATAGAGATTTTTCTATAAAGGATTTAAAAATTTATTGCTATGAAAAAATTCCCACTTATTATTAGCTAAAAGCTCTTCGCAGATTCTACATTTTCAAGAAATTGTCAATTATCATCTGTATTTCTACGCTTAATTTAAAAACTTGAATTTTGTATTAACAAGGGAAAAAATTTAATTTACTACTTATGTAATATTTTAATGGTTACTCGAAATATGAATTTAAAGAGTGAAATTTTTTAATACGATGATGGCATATAATAAAGTAAGAGAGTTGTGATTTTATCGATCATCGAGATTTATTATGATTATGAAATTATCGAATAGTATTTTAATATAATTGGCATTGGTCCCTGAAAAAATTATGAATTTAGGCGATTACGAATTTATCGGATATGGATTTAATGAGCTTTGATTCAAGGACGATGATTTTCTGCTTTAAGATTAAACAGAAAACACAGAAGTACGTATCAAAAGAAATGCGAAGAACTATATCTAAAACTATCACGTATATGGTAAGTGTAATATAATGTGCATCGCAAATCTCATGGTTAGGTTGTATTAAAAAAATTATATTAATATATTTCGCTTTTATGTGTATTACGTTAAATTTGTTCATAATGGAAGAATCTGTTAGCTTTATGGAAATAGGTTAGGGTTTATATTTGAATAAGACAAACAATTCGAATAAAACGAATGATATGCACAATCAGATTAAAAAAATTTTCTTTATCAGTTCTATTTTTTTCTTCATAGTCTTTGTAATAATAGTTGTAGTTCTCGATTTAACGGATACTAAAAATCTTGATTTAATGGACTGGGATCCTATTTCTGCTCAAGTTCTGCCTATTCCATTTTCAATTCTGCTTAATTTTTCTATAGAATCTTATTTTATTTAATCAAAAAAAAATTTTTAATTAATCAATATAACTAATAAATAATTCTTATTCGAATTGCTAATAGAAAAAAATAATACATCTATCGCTATTGCTATTATAACAAGAGAAAAACTCAATTACACGGTTTTGAGCAATTTGAGATTTTTTTTGAAAAATCCCGTTATATCAATATCAATAAGAATTTTATTATTATTATTATATATTATTATGGTTTGTTATTATTAAATCGTTCTTATGTTTTTTAAACACCGCAGATTTTGCGAACGTTTCTCGTGGAACAAACACTTTCCAAAATCGGGAGAAAACAGGAGGGAAAAGAAAAACGTTACGCAAAACGTCGAAAATCTACACAAGAATCGCGACATTTTGTTAATGAACGGGGTTGTTTTTTTTTTTTTTTAATGTTGATAATAATAATAACAACTTTGTTAAATACCTTTTGAAAGTGTCGTTCTCTGTCTAAAGCCACGGCTATTCAAAAATGGTGTTGGTTCAATATTGCTTTAAAAGATTTGATAGTGTTTGGTTGAGAAGGTGTAAATATTCATAGGGTTGGTAAAGAGATTCACGAAAAACTGTTTTATAAACTTTAATAGCATTTATGTACTAAAATAAATTCTTTAATAAATAGAAAAAAGTATTATTATTATTATTATTATTATTATTATTATTATTATTATTATTATTATTATTATTATTATTATTATTATTATTATAAGAATTATTAATGAAACAAAAAGTATGCATCGAAAAAAAAAAATTTCCTCCTTTCTTCCTTTGATAAATAATATCATCAACATCAACAACAATAACGATAATAATAATCATAAAACAATAAAATCTTACCATGATAAATCATACCATCAACGCCAACACCAACGCCAACGCCAACAACAATAACGATAATAATAATCAAATAAAATCTTACCATAAATGGATTTATCAATAATCAAAAATAAAGAAAAAATCACATTTGTAATAATAATTTTGTTAGTATTGGTAATAGCAGTAGTAATAATAGAAATAGCAGTAGCAGTAGTAATAATAGAGCAGCAGCAGTAATAATAATAGAAATAGCAGTAGTAATAGTAATAGTAGTAATAGCAGAGAGATAGCAGTAGCAGTAATAGTAATAGTAATATAATAATAATAATAATAATAATAATGGTGATGATGATGATGACAGTAGTGGTAATAATAATAATGATGGTGGATACCAATACATACAATTAAGAATTACTTCAAATAACACCAATCAACAATCAATTCAACTGCAATCACTAATCTTCTTTGCAATCAACACGATCATCATTACCACCACCATCGTCATCATCTTCTTCTTCTTCTTCTGCTTCTTCTTCTTCTTCTTCTTCTTCCGCTACTTTTCATCAGTTAGTTATCAGGGAAATCCTCAGACGCAATATTATAAAAAATTGTAAGTTTTACATAACCAGTTAGTCTTTAAGTAACCAAATTAAAAATCAACAATATAAAGGTGGATTAATCTGTTTGGGGCTAGTGAGGTTCCTATTTTATTAGGAAAACTAGTAGTAAATATTCTATGTATATTCTACATTATTGTAAGAGTTTAACATATTAAAAAATGCATGTTTAATACATCGCTTTTAACTAAATATTATAATACGTAATTGAAACCAATAATGTTTTTATTGACGTGTTTCATCATTAATAAACAAATAATTTTAAGCCTATTAATATTTTGCTATTATAACAATACAACAATGTCAGCTTCATAGTCTAAAAAGGAAAGAAAAGATATTATTATTTCAATTAACTAACAAACAAAGTAAACAATAAATCTTTTGGGCTATTTAGTCAGTCATCCGTCAAATGACATTTCACAAAAATAGTTTGGATTCGTTGATTTCTTTATATTTTTAAAAGTCATTATGAACATTCTAAATAAATATAATAATATTTTATATCATAATGAACATTATATAAAGGTATTACACACTGTTAGAGTGGCTGAGATAATTTCCATTGTTAACAAAATTTTCAAATAATTATAATTTCCTTTTTTAATCTTTTTTTGTTAAGATTTGTTTGTAATATATCACCGTCGTTATTATCAAGACTTTAAAAGTTAATATTTCTAAATTAGATTCTAATGGTAACTAATAGGTTCCTCAAACACTAAAATTTCTCCGTTTCACCTAACAACTATTAATTGAATTGATGGTTACGTTATGCAAAATACATTGAACGTCCACACACCATCTATCCATCGCTTGAATCCCAGCTATTCAACTTAACAGTGACACACCCAATTCGATATTAAATTTCCTCACATCAATCAATCATCGTCATCAACTTTATCACACTCACCACTGCAAATGGTTTGTAGCTGATGAGCCACCAGCTCCCGTAGCTGATATGAATATAGTAAAGAAATTGTATTTTATATTTGATTATGCTGACAAAGACTATGTTGTGAACTTATTTCAGATAAACTAATAATATAAAATTTATTAAATAACATATATAAATCTACAAAATAATAAAATTATATGGTAACACAACCGGCCAATATATTAATATATATACCCACCCCAAAATAATAATACAAATATTTACAATGAAAATAGAAAGTAATATTTAGAATAAACAGTAAAAAGAAAGAAGGAAAGGAGAAGATATGGTAGGATGGATGGATGGATGGATGGATGGAATATAAAGAAAGGGAAAATAAAAATAAAAGTTTACAAAAAGTCTAAAAATTCAAGCATAAACATCTTGGTGTTTATATTCAAACAATATCAAATATCTTGGTAATGTTGCCTAAAATCAAAATAAAATAAAAATTATTTGGTATTTATTCATTTTTGATTAGTTAATTTAATTTTAATACATAGATATTTGAAAGTTTACCTTTTCTTTGTTTGTAACATAAATATGTTTTGGTTTTTTAGATATTACATCAACTACAAACATTGCTTTTAATGAATTGTTACTGGTGCAAAAGTAGAGTGAAGTATTTGGATCAGTCGCAAACCACATTTCTGATCAATCAGTCAGTCAATTTGATTGATTAGTTAGTTGATTAAATAATAGATAACGATAATTGAATAATTATGGCAACAACACTTAATATACTTACTCCTACTTGAAAATAAAGATTTATGTTTTGAACATTTAGTTTTATTGCCTTGCCTGATAATACCACACATCCCACAACCACTTTCGCACAACTCATAGTTAACAATTTCTTCTTCTTCTTCTTTATTATTATTAATATCGCTGAAGAATTTGTTAGGATCACAAACAGGATTATAAGCGCTAAAAGTGCCATGGAATGCACTTCTGGTAACTTCATCAACTGATAGATTATTTAATCTTGCAACTATTTTTTTGTATCTCTCGTGAGATTTTGTTAGCTTAGAAGGCATTTCCAATTTTAATATATAACGAACGCCACTATTTTTTAACGGACGTTCATATTGAAACTTTTCTTTTAATCCTTTGTACTCGTCAGATGTCTCAGATAATAAGATTAGTCTTGTTTTATTGATTTTTTTTGGAGGTGTTGATTTGTTGTTTTGGGAAAATTGTTGAAAAAAAATTCTTTTATAGAATTTACCATTGTAATTTTTTTTTTTAGCTGAAGTGTCTATTGTTGTTGTGCTTGTTATATTAGTAGCAGAAGTGTTAGTTGTATTTGTGGTGTTAGTTGTGTTAGTATTCTCATTGAGAGAAATGAGAGAGGCGGAGGAGGTGTCTGACTGTGTAATTAACATTTCTGACAATGTGTTAATATTAGTAATGTGAAAGTTGCTAGAATTGTTGGTTTCAATGTTAGTGTCAATATAAGTGTTGACAGTGTTGTTGGTGATTGTGGTAGGTAAAGAAGATTTATCAATCATGATTGATTGATTATTATTAAATCGAGTCATTGTTATGGGGGGTTTTTTTTTTTTGTTTGATTTTATCAAAAAATTAAAACAAAAAATAAATAAATAAATAAATAAATAATGGAAAAGTGAAAGTTCAATTTATATATTAGTATGCGTATGCGAGTGAACGAGCGAGCGAGTGAGTGGGTGAGTGGAGTGAGAAGGAAATTAATTAATTTAATTAATTAAAAATCAGTCAAACGGGCAGCGTATTTATAAATATTTTTTATTGTTGTTATTTATTATTCTCGGCAAGAGTTTTCCGGCTGAAAAAAATCGAAACTTTGTTATCGTTACTCAATTCATCAATTTACTCGTTAAAACTGGAATTCTAATAATGCCAAAGATTTTCTTTGTGTAGTAGTAACGTTCTAATGTTCTAAATAGATTATCATCAGAATTAACTTAAAAGGTAATCAAGATTTAGCAAACTAAGCTGAATTTTTTTTTAGATTTTACTATTACTAAATGCTACTACGTACATACAACATACATAGGTAGATGATAAGATAATAAATAATTAATACAAATTTAAAATGACTTCACTCGTCGAAACAAAAAATTTAGAATTTAATAATAATAATGATGATGATAAAAGTAATAATTTAAATTTAAATTTAAATTTAAATTTAAATTCTATTGGTTCAGAATCAGCAAAATCACAAAATAATGGGAATGAGAATAAAGAGAATGATAATAATAAAATATCAAAAAATGATGACGATGATATAACGCAACAAAAATTAAGCAGCAAATCAAGTCTGGGTTTGGTAGTGATAATAATATAATAATAATAATAATATAACAATAATAATAATAATAAATTTTTATTAGAAAAATTAATTTAATAATTTATTTTATATATATATTCTTTTTAGACTTTAGTAAAAATCAGAGATTTTGCATTTCCAATAGAAGATCCAAGGCATTGGGGAAAAAATGATATCACATTACCAGATTATGATAATGGTTTTAATGATGGTGTTGATTATTATGATAATGACAATAATGATGATGATGACGATTATATTATAGATGATGATAACAATATTAATAATATTTAGTAACAATCACTTTAATAATTATTAGAAAACAACCATTAGATTATTCCATCAAAGTAGGTTATGAAATATCGATTGACTTTAATACCGGAAAATGTAAGAAATTTATTATTGCATCATATACTTATATATTTATAAATTTTATTAACTTTTATTTTTAAATAATAAATAAAATTTGCATATTTTAAAATCATATATAAAGAAAAATGAATTTTTTATTAGAACTAGCTTTTGGATGTTTCCAAGGATCCTAGTTTTTTAATTACTTTGACACGATATATCTATCACTTATCATTCGCCGCAAAGCCAATCATCATTACCGAATCAGTGACATCCACCGATTAATTCTCCAACGAAAAGAAGTTGGATGTTTAGAGTTAGAAGAATCGTTACTATTACATTCATTACGATTTCTAGATCAACATCAAAAAAACAGTACCTTCTTCTACTGCCAATTGTCATAAAGATTAATTTTAGGAGAAAGTTAAAAAAAAATTTATGAAAAGTAAACAAAATATTATATATAACGTATATTTTTTTATTAATATCAATAAAATAAGTATTGCTATAAATTTAATGTTATAAAATAAATTATTTTCCCGATTTTTATAATAATAATGGAAATAGTGAATTGTCCTTTAATTCAAGTTACACGTACACAATTTTGGTTATTCAAGTACATACATACTAATACATAAATGTCAATAGTTTTGTCATTATTATCATTATTATTATTATTATCAAGAAATATGAATGATCACGATCCCTCTGAAGAATATGAACATGAGCGACTAGTAAACGAGGAACTTATGAGAGTGCAAGAAGAAATCTTTTCAAGTGAAAATGAAAATGGTGGCGGTGATGCTGTTGATGACGACGATGGGCAGCAACTAGATTCAATGGAAAATATCCGTTATGACCATGAAGCATTATCTGAACAAGGCCTAGATGAAGAGGAGGGAGGAGAAGGTGTAATAGATGAAGGAAGAATGGCTAGGGTGGAAAGGGTGGGAAAGCCTAATACTAAGGTTGTCGAGTCGGAATCACAAAAGAAATTAAGAAAAATGATTATTAACATTCAAAATGACGATGATCTTAAACATGAAGAGAAATTGATCAAAATACAAGTATTGTTTTTTTTGATTTTACATATACCTACACACATATATATGTATATTAAATTGGTAATTAAAAATTTTTTTTAAAAAAAGGAATTAATGACGAATGACTGGCGTGAAAAGGGAAAAAAATCAGTTGCAGACAATTCGAATGGACCTAGTCAAGATGATTTTAAGCCAACATATGTACATATATTTATACATATATTTTATAATAATGATTATTACATTATAACTTATTCTTGTTGCTATTTACTTTAATTAATTTAGAATGAGAAAAAAAATAGCTTCGGTTGTAATCATTATGTTAGGGGAGCAAAATTACAAGCAGAATGTTGCAAAGGATGGTTTACTTGTAGATTTTGTCATGACGATGCATCTGATCATAAAATCGATAGGTAGAATATATTTTCTTTATAAAAAAAGTTTTTTTAATGAATATTTATAATTATTTATAATTATTAATAATAATTTTTATCTGTATATATATATATATAAAAGAAGTGCCACCAAAAATATGATGTGTATGCATTGTCTAACTGTACAACCTGCATCAATAAATTGTAATAATTGTAAAGTACAATTAGCGAGATATTATTGTGACAAGTGTAAACTTTGGGATGATGAAGTCGATAAAGATATATTTCATTGTGACAAATGTGGAATTTGTAGAATTGGTAAAGAACCAGATTATTTTCATTGTGATGTATGTGATTGTTGTTTGACAATTAATGGAAAAGATTCACATCAATGCATCGAAAAGAATATGCATCGTGATTGTATGATTTGTGGTGAATATTTATTCACTTCATTATCATCAACTTGCAATATGGTTTGTATTAATCATTTATTTTATTAAAAAAAAAATTTATATTTTTTGAAATTATTTAATCAAAAAAATTTTTTTTTTAAAAAGAGGTGTGGACATATTATACATAAGGCTTGTTTTGATAAATATATATTGACGGCATACCAGTGTCCAACATGCTGGAAATCAGTTTCAAATATGGAAATATATTTTAGAAGAATAGATGCACTTGTGGCCCAACAACAAATGCCACCAGAATACGAACATTACGTATCAAAAATATTATGTAATGATTGTGTTAAGCAAAGTACAGTAAAATATCATTTTATATATCACAAGTGCCAATATTGTAAGGGTTACAATACAAAAGTCATAGAGACTAAAGAATTATTACCATGCGATGAAACAAATATCGTCACGGCTTTAGATAATCTTGGTTTAGATGAATCGAGGACTGGTACTGCTGATAATAGTAGCGGTACCAGTAATGCTGGTGGTGGATCAACGTCAAATGGTGGAGGTGGATCACAAGTCAGACAATCTAGAATAATGGAAGTTACTGCTATGATGCAAGGAGAAGATGGACCAGTTGATGGAGGGAATGCCACAGAACATGGAACAAGAAATCCTTTCAATTCACTTGATTCTAATATTTGATCTTTTATTAATAAATAATCCTTTAGACAATCTTTGGATTGTAACGAAAGATTTCAAATTCACGAGTCTGGTTTTACTATATCTTCATTTACTATACGTAATTTTAATATTTGGATCAAAGTAAACATTCCCTTTGCCTTTCATGTCTCATCTCACCGCCTTAGGTACTCAGTCACTATTTGCTTTACTGCAAATCGCTGACTTTTGCCTTTTAGTCTTGTTCTCTCTCTTTTATCATCGATATCAAGGATGCCTTTATTAAAGATGAATTCACAAGAGAAGAGATATTAATATCTGAAATTGTTGTAAGGATAACGGACAAATTCTACTGGAAATTGATGAAAAGATTCTTGAAGATATAAACACGTTTGCCAAAATAAGTTTATCTTGGATTGATACCATACTATTCTTCTTACAAGTATAAATAGAGCACAAAGAAGAAACTTTGGATCAAAAAATCAAGCTTGATCAGTTAATGATCGCAAAACGAAAAACTACACCTTTTGCATTTTCCAGAGTACATAATGTAAAATATGATAGATCAGCTCATTTAAAATATGTTTCCTTATTGCGTTCTCCTTTATTAATTTTTACATAATAAATAATCAAATGATCACAGAAGTGAGTGCTGTCCATCATGTCATTTATGCTTATCAGAACTGTTGATGATATATTTATAAATTTGTTTGAACCATCTTAATTGAGGTGCAAAAATAAAAAATCACTCACAAGCTATCAGGTCAACTTTTAACAATACGAATTTTGTTAAACAGATAGCGGATATTATACAGCACCCAGTGTCAACACAACAAAGATGATAATAGGCCAAAGAAGAGAAAAGTTATAAATGGTCACAAATGTGGTGCAATATTTTATCTTATTATTATTAAATAGTAACACAGGGTGCGTTGACTGTAATATGTATTTATTTGCTATTTTAATTCTATATACTGAAAATATAATTCGCTATTATTATCACAATCTTTATTAACCATCATCACACATTATTATTTTGATCTTACATATTTTCCAACAACCAAAGCATGATCACGTTCATATGGTTCCAAAGTTAATTGTTCCTGGGGTTTTATGTGTTCTTCTTGTAATCGTTTAACTTCCTTGGCAAAGACTTTAGTGGGATCTATAGTGGAGTCAATACAATTTGCTTTTATTGAGATTACAATGTGTGCATTATTTTTTAGATAATGATGCGCATTCAGCGCAATAATACGAGCTTGATCTGGTTGTGCCACATCTGCAAAAATCACATCTACCATTCCAACCAACATACGATACTTGTATGGATGTCGCGCATCCTCAATTATTGGTATAACATTAGTCCTTTTTTTGGCTACATTTACTAAATCACGTCCTGATCTAGGTGAAAATTCAACTGCATATACTATTCCTTCCTATTTGTGAGAAATAAACAATTAAATAATTAACTTATAATAATAATCCTGTCAACAAAAACAAATTTTACACTTACGGGACCAACTATATCAGCAACATGTGAAACAGTGGTACCAGATGCAGCACCTAGATATAGTACTTTGGATTTAGGAGCTATATATATATTGTCAATACCACCTAGGATGCCAGCTGCTAGCTTGGATCTAAATGGATTCCAAACTCGATATTCTATCTTGACACCATCTTGACCTTCAACCGAAATTCTTTTTTCCCCATATACCGCTTCACCTGGTACTAAATTCTTAGTCACCAACATATCTTCTTTTCCACGTGCAATAAAAACACCTTCATGTCTATGTGGTTCAATTATTACTTTGGTTCCACCTCTTGCACCTCCACGACCTCCGCCTCTGCCACCACCTCCACGACCGCCACCACCTCTGCCACCACCTCTACCGCCACCACCTCTACCGCCGCCACCACCTCGACCTAAAAAAGTTTGTGTACCAATATGTAAACATATAGGATATTTCATTGTAAAAAAACAAAAGTACAAATACAAGTTCATTTATAAACATACATACCTCCACCTCTTCCACCACCTCCACGTCCACCACCTCTTCCTCCAAAACTTCCACCACGACCACCGCCACCACGACCACCGACTCTACCTAACATTGATTTAATCTTTAGAAACTTACTTTACGTTGTAATTTTTGTTAGATAAAAAAAGAATGTATTTTTACCGTATCCCATTATTTAATAATAATTATATATTCAGATTAATAAACAAATAATTTATCTTTTTTAATTAATTAACTAATTAATTAATTAATTAATACGGTTTTTTATTATAATTATGATTACTTTAAAAGAGAAAGTTTTGATTTGAAAAAAATTTTGATGAGAAAAACTTTTTTATCTATATAGACGTTACACCAACAATATAAAATTATCACGTGAAAATTTGCAAACAAAAATTTTCTTTTTGAAAAAGTTTTGCAATGACCATTTTTTATTAACGCAAAAAACGACATTTCGAAATGCACACATATATTAATATATATATACACGTATTGAAAAAAAAAACGTTGATTAAACAAAGTGATCTACAACAGCTACTGGATTATTTATGAATTCAGTCAGATGTAAGGGTGTGAGCTAACCGAATATGTAAATTATCTATCTATACGGCACAGTCAAATTTTACACATCATAATAATTATTTATTTTCATTTATATTAATTACCGCTTAAATTACAAACAGTTTACTATTTAATTATCAATTAGTTATTTAAGAATTAATTTTATATATAAATCGTAATATACAAAAGGATAACCCAGATCATTGACAACCACTCTTTACCTTGGTACTTGGAAGAAATCTATTCCGTATATTGATGATGGTATTGCAATAGATGATGTCCGTGCTGGAAATGACGATTATTTAACTTTTGAACTGTCAGTTAAATAACCTATCGAAAAACATTAGAACTTGTTCAAATAAAATCACATGACATAAATCGATTAACACGGAGCACGTTATCCAACCAAATTTGATAATTATCTGCAAATAATTAATAAATTTGGTTAGATCGTGTGTTCGATATTGTGAAATATGATGATGTCCTATCAGCTTTTCAGGACCTTGGATAATCAATCATATTTGGGGTTATAGGGCACTCTATAAGAGAAAATGACCACTTTTACCCCATACCACATCTAAAAATATGTAATTTTACCTATGAAGTTACCTATGACATTTTATTTGGGGCATACTGAATAAAACCAGACAAAGTGAACATTGGTATAACCAATAATTTCAGGGATCAAAATTTAGTCATTTGTAATGTGATCATAATTAATATCCCATTTGTTATCTTAAGTGATGTATAGAACTATCCCCCATAGGGATGGGGCGGTTCGGTTCGGTTCGGTTCTGGTTCCATGGAACCGGTTACAATAGAACCGAACCGAACCGAACCGTTCGAACCGGTTCTTGGAACCGGTTCCAAAATAGATGTAACACAAAATATTATTGTCAAAACTAATTTTCTTTGAAAATTTTC